GGGTGTAATTCTCGAGCGCTGAGCGGTACCAGTTTCGGGGTCGCTATAACATGGTCGGATCGCTGCGGCTATCGATTCCATTTTGGGACGGGTCACGCGATATTATTATCTTGGTACGGTACACTGGTTCGGTATGGTCACGACACTTTTGTTGCACTTTACGGCGTCCGGCGTTGGGCTGGTATGGTAACGGTACTGGCGAATGCCGCTCTGGCGAACTATGCCATTTTGATACGGTAATTGTGACTTGTTGGTTCGGTACAGGGATGACACCGGGGCAGCGTACTGCAGCCTGCTCCTAATTCTTATAGCTCGGTAACTGGTACGGTACTAAGCGGAGCTGCAACTCGACCTATTCATTTCTTCTCTACGGGCCCAGCGCTGTTGACACTCATGGCGGTCTGGTATTATCATATTCGGTCCGGTCCAAAACTGGTACGGTTCAGCTATCTTCAGCACTGCTGCTCGCTGCGAGTTGGTATCATTAACATTGGTGCTACGGCCTGGTACCTGGGTCCTGCTACTGGGCCTGTGGGCCTGAGACATGCCACCATTCCATTAGAGACTGGGTGGCCTGTGTGGGATAAAGGACAGACCAGCTAAAGGATTGGGACATTCAGGTGGGGGCAGTCTCTCGCGGCATGCAAGGTGTACCCCGCCCACGTCGCAGATACGGACGAAGTCAACGGGCATCTGGACATGGAGACGGGGGGAGCTTTTCGGAAGCATGCACGGTGTACACAGCCCACCGCTGCCAACGCTGGTTGAAGTCAACAGACACGGACAGTGAACGACGGCGAGTGCTGCGAACGTACCTGTTCGCGAAGCGAGGTGGTTCCCTGCTGCTCACGGTCAACGGTAGCTATAGCGGCAGTGTGTGTGTGTGTGTGAAGGAGAGCGGGAGCGAGAGAGAGAGAGAGAGTGAGCCAAGGAGACTGTGTGTGCGAGAGAGGGAGAGTGAGAGGAAGAGGCTGTGCGTGTGAGAGAGAGAGAGAGAGTGAGAGATAGGGACTGTGCAGTGTGAAAGGGGAAGATTGTGCAGTGTGTGAGGGAGTGAGTCAGCGAGAGAGAGAGACTGCGCTGTCAGATAGAGAGACTGCGCGGTGAGAAAGAGAGAGAGTGCGCAGATTGAGAGGGAGGGGGTGTGCTGAATGAGAGACGAAGAATACTCTACTTCAGGGAGAGGAAGGGCGCTAAGAGTGAGTGAGTGGGTGCTCTGATTGAAAGAGAGTGGCCACGTTGTGAGTCTACCAAAGAGAGACACTGAGAGACAGGATCTGGTCTCTCTCCAAAGGAGGGAGCAGCGACCTGTCGATGAGACCTGCTTCAAGTTCTTACCGCAGTTGATGAGACCAGCGTCAAGCACTCACCCCTGCTGATGCGACCAGCTTCAGAAGCACTACCGCTGCTGATGAGACCAGCGCCGGG